TTATTATTATTATTATTATTATTATTATTATTATTATTATTATTATGCGTTTTCACTTTAATCTTTTCCCTGTCTTCTTTTGATAAAAAATTTGTTAGAAAAAAAGTTTTAAAAATGACAAACATGCAAAAGCATGTTGTGAGCCACTCAATCACTTCAATTTTATTTGTTCAAAAATTGTCATTTCGACAAATTTGATTATAATTTACTAGCAAATTTCACCAAAATAAAGCGAAAAGTAAAAAAATATACATACAACGAGTATTTTAGCTTTTTTTGGTTTCGAAGAATAAAATTGCGAAGAATTCAATTCAGTATTAGTCTCAAAAGCTACAAAGACTATTCTGCGTGAATTCCTTTATAAAATAACTACGAAAATTATTATTCTTTTATTCACATTCAATTTTCGAAACAATGAAAGTAAAGTTGATTTAAATTCAAGTATTTTTTTGATTATTAAGTAAACTTTTTCATTTTGTTCTTAATAAAGATTACTTAGTTAGCACAGTTTAAAGGTAAAATTTGTTTCTTATAAACTTCACTAATTCAATTATCACATCTTGTTTTGATTAATGACCAGCAGACTATGCGTTAGGGATTAACTTTTATAAATGATAGAAAGAGCGCAATATTTTTAACTCTTATTGTTATTACTATTATTATTATTATTATTACTGTTACTGTTATTATTATCATTAATTACTTATTGATATTTCTTTCACAATTGTTTTTATTATTTTGTTATTTCAAAGTGATTTTTGAGGGATATTTGACCGTACTGCTAAAACATATAAAGAGATTAAAGATGCGGACGCAATTTTATAAGTTGCTGAAAAATTGTAATTTTATTTGTAAAAAAAGTTAACTGCTAGTTAAAATTTCAATCTCATTTCAGCAATACAACGGAAATTCTCAAAATTTGTCAACAAAACTTCAGCTTAAAAACTTTGCAAAATCTGCCAACTTTGTTAGTATTTTGCAGTTTAGTACTACTACTACTACTGCAGAAAGAATAGTTTCGCTTGTCTTTATGAATAGCTATTTCTGATCTGATATTGCTGTGATTTCAGCCTGCCTATTTTGAGATGACAATTTTCTTATTAATTTGTTAAGTAATAAATGAGTGATTTACTTTGTATTCATTCACTCTCTTTTCCTTTTCA